CTTCCAGGTGAGGTGGTGCAGGCTCCCACCCTGGGGGGTTTTAAGAGGAGGTTAGATGACCATCTTGCTGGGGTCGTTTGACCCCAGTACTCTTTCCTGCCAGGGCAGGGGGTCGGACTAGATGATCTGCCCAGGTCCCTTCTGACCCTAGAAACTATGAAACTATCTAGCTGGTGAGACAAGAGAACAGTACCAAAGGGAAACCAAAGATTATGAGGAATTGCTTTTTAGCATTGGAACTGGAGCTCAGTGACTAAAACAGGCGTATTTTATCTGCATACTATTACAATACTATCATATTTACACAGCTGCCTTAAGAAAGCAGTTCTCAACCTTTTTAGACTGCTTGTCAGACTCAAGACACCCCTTGGAAAATGCTGTGGCACCCTGGTTGAGAATCGCTGCCTGAGGAAGCCAAGTCTGAGAAGCACTTAAACGTTATAGCAAAGCCTGAGAGAGGGCACTACGTTTTAAACAGCAGTGATGTTCTTACAATATGAATATTCACGCTTTATCCAATCTCATTCAAGCTATTATTAACTGTGGGAGTTCAGCGTTCAGATCTATGATGGCAAGCTCCTCCATCCAAATGAAAAGCCATCCTGGAGTCTGACTTATGCAAACGTAAGTATTTATCTTCCAAAGGGATGGAATGGAAAAGACAACAATGCCCAGATAACTACTCCAAAGTGACAGGGAACACTAGAATACCAGCTAATCAAGCTACTGATACTGCTACCTGTCCTGTGATAGCATCCGTACCGGGCTGGGCACTATGCACACACACAGGCAGAGTTATTCCACATAGTAAACAGCGTACAGTATATATAAATGCATACCTTTGCACTGAAATAAAGCAACTGCAGCAGTGCGTCAAGAATTCTTTTCTTTTCTAGCATCTTATCTGATAGCAGCCATTGCCCATTTCTGACAAAGATGCAAGAACCCCCCTCTTATGGAATAGCCCGTTTTGATCAAGAGACTTTTCCATCTATTCCAACGCGTGTCCTTCGGAGGACCAGTACGCACCCCTGTAGGATATGGGGTTTGTTCAGTTGTTTGGCAGCAGCAACGAGCAATCTAAGCCCAGGCCCGGCAGCACAGCGGACTAGGATCAGTGCACACCACACAGGGGCAGGGGCAGAAACAGCGAGGACAAAGTAACACCCGTAGGGGCTTGCTGTGGGGACACTCGCACCTTGCCTAAGCAGCTTGCTCAAGCCCAGGTGCCAATCCCTATTTACTAGTAAACGAGTACATCTCTATTTCTTATTTCCCTTGAACATCAGCAGGCCAAGAGCCTGATTTCTGCACATCTTTAAAAACTTTAGAGCAGGAACTGGGAACAGAGGTTTGGACTTGTAGATAGATTATTTTTCTGTCTTTGCCACAGACTTTTCACGTGATCCTAGGTATGTCGCTGTAATGCCTTTGTTCAGTTTCTCTCCTTTTAATGTATGCTGACCAAGGTCCTTTGCTAACAGGTATTGTGCAAGCATAAAGAAGGTCTAGATATGCATGGTTTTAAGAATCAGGGGTTTAGTAAACAAGATGCAAACCATGACGATTCGGAAGTTTGTTACAAGTAGTTTCATATAACGAAAATAATTTTATAATAATAATTGGTGATTAAATTGCAATTTGGTACCTTTCCTCTACAGCTTCTGGCATTGTTAGAGACTTTTCAAGTTTCTAATGAATATTCTCTTTTTATAAATATAACTTGAGACATTCTGAAGGGCAAGTTATGGTCCTGGGCTGCCAGGATTTGAGTTGGCCACTAACCATTTCAAGTCGGCTTTTGACCTAGTATTACTTAAAAAAAAAAAATCAAAAAATTTGTGACCACATGGTTAAATAGTATTTTGCCACATAGTTATCAGTCTTGATAATCCTTTAAGAATAGCTGTTGTTTTCAGGGTATACCCCTTCTGTTCTATTTGAGAAGGATTGTTTTGCCGGCAGAGGCAGCTTGCAACACTTTCTTGAGCATTTGACAAAATGCCCTAGCTCAGCTGCATGCCGCTGACACAGGTGCCAGGCTAGGCACTGCTTCTCCATTTGCTTGATTCATGACTCTTGCATTCCCCAAAGGAAAGTAATTTAAGGGAATTCAGCACAATATATCTTGTGCATTTGGAATATAAATACATCGGCAATAAACAGATGCCTTGTCTACTGACCACTGTACCGTAACACTTGGATATACACTGTATAAGCATCTTACTGGATGGTGTTTTGAAAAGCTTTACTTGATGTACAAACCCAGTAACACAATCTTTAACTTCTTCAGAAGGCAAAACAGGGCGTTGAGACTTGGTGACAAGCGATTCTGGTCTCTGTGTATGTCAAGGAAGTGATGCAGGTAACAGACTGACTGGATTTCTCTATTTGATCTGGACAAATATTTGCCCCCAAAACCCTTTTCCACAGACTTCAGTGGTAGAGATGGGATTATAACACTTAAGGACCAGACTGTTGTCTCAGGAAAAGGAGCCCTTTGCTGTGTATGTGCACTTTTGAAAGTATAAGCTGTATCAAAGCTCTCTCTCTCTAGCTGTTACATATTCCTACTTTCGTAGTATCCAAGAGTCCTTCTACTTTTAATTTATCCTTCTAACACTCCTAGGAAGTCTGGAGGCACTGCTGTTTCAGATAGGGAGCTAAGGCAAAAAGGTTAAGTGACTTACTTTAACCAAGGTCACCCTAGGTACCTCCAGCATAAAGAGAAATTTAAACCTCAATTTCTAACTAATGCCCCAAGCATTGGGCTGTCCTCCCCACCATGCAGCACGGAGGATCTTTTTTCACTTTGTTGAAGATTTCAAGTCTGTATTGTCACTGCAGAGAGCGTGACTCAATTTGCCTGTTTTTCTGCAGGAATAAAGATGACATACAAGGACAATTTCCTCATACTGAAGATTCCGTCGAGTAAATGGGAAACAAACATCCATTACCTTTCAAAACAATGCTTCAAACAGTGCCTTCTGCATCTGTGCGCCGCCTCTCTTTGCAAGCTTGGGCCTTACCTACCATTCTGTTCTGACAGTAAGATTTGATGTAAGATTTTAAACTCGCATCACTCATATTTTTCTCACGTGTTCCCTCAATGACAGCACTACTTCCGATTTTTCTCAGCAGTCTATTTGTCCAAGTCACCAGCATTTTAAAGAGACGTTATTTGCAAGCTACGTATTGCCATGTTTTATCTATGCTGAATATGCTTATTTCATTGGCTGACTGAAAACTAAGTGAGCGTTCATGACATCTTTGCCATATCTCCACTTTTGAATCGTTAAAGCCTCCTATTATCAGACTTATCTGAACAAGGCTAGATCGGTGTGTTTCCATCTGATGGCACGCTGTATCCATAGGTATGTAAGATATATTGGCGGATCTGTTTTTATTGGTGCTAAAAATTGATGATTTGATGAAACAAGAGAAAAATCGCTTTTTAAATGGACAAATATGCCTCTTTAGGATGACACTTAAATAGAGGGTATATAAAATCCAAAGTATAAAACTCGTGTCATGACCTGCTGAA